GTAGAATAGATATCAATCAATAATTTTATATGTAGAAGCACTGAAAACTATTTATAAATGGCAACGGTTGTTTACATTTCTCTGTCTTATGGATCTACGTCAAACTTCAAATGATGTTCTATGTTTGTTTACTTTTTACAGTAGATGAGGGAAAAGTTGTTTTTCGATATTTTGTCTGTATTTTGAGCGATATTTGTGAAAAGTGAAATAAAATAAACGAAATATTTACATCCCGATCTCTCATTTCATTTGTAAGTACATACAATTTACATTATTTAAGATGAGGAAATGAGGAAGTGTGTTTGTTTACATTTTAATAGGCGTACCATTGGGTTTATTCATGTTCATCAATGTATTGAATAAGGTATAAGTTCATGAAATTAGTAGACATTTTTAAATTGTAAGTAGACATCATCTGATTAAAAAAGATCTCTTTAGGACCTTTTTAATTTAATATTTCTCATGGATGCAAATAAATTAGTAAAATAAATAAAACTCATTTATTTTTCTATGTAGTTTTCCAAATAATATTGACGATCGAACTATTTTGGTAGCAAATTTACGAGAAAACATAAAGATTTTTTATTGTAGCATTATTTTGAAACCTTTTAAAAATTTACTTGAATTTACTATATTTTATATACTTATTTATATATTCACTATATTTTATATACTATATAATACTATATTTTATTGTATTAATTTTAAAGCAAATAAAATTGTATTTTAATTTTTATATAAAGACGTGATTTGTTAATAGTTAAACTCTCGTTTTTTTAAATTCTTTCAACGTGTTTTTATACATTATTACTACTTCCAATTTTTAAAATCTGAATAATTACCCGCGAGTAAAAATATAAGCACGCTTATGCTCATTGCGGAAGCATCACATTCTATCGAAGCTTCAAAACATTGTGTGTTAAAGATATCTTATTGCTGTGTCCATCTATGTTTATACGTCCATGTGTTAATTAGTTCCTGCTTACCTATTTAGCTTATTTAGTTCCGCCGATAAAACTGCGACTTGACTATCGGACGCAATCTTGAAAAAACCGTATTATCGTATTAAGTATATAGCCTGTAAATTGTCCTCTTCGTATGTTAGGCCTTAATGCCTGTTGTTTCAGGTCTGATTTAGCAGTAATAACGATGTACAGACTACAACTACTATGTATCTCTCTTTTTTTTAGGGGGTCTGCCTTGTGGTCTTTTACCTTCTGGTTTTCCATCTCTTACGATTCGGGCAAGTCTCTCTCTTTCCATTCTGTTAATTTGTTGGTTCCTTTCGCGTCTGCTTTGGCGTTCTCATCTGACGATATCATGTACTTTACACATGTCTCTGATTTGTGTATTAGGGATTCTGTTTCTTAAAGTTTTACCTGCTATCGCCCTCAGTGTTTTCATCTTTGTTGTTCTTAAGACGTTTTTTGTAATTGTTGTTTCTGCTCTTGTTTCTATCTGCTTCTAAATGTGCCCATCTTCTAGAGATGTTAGCGACCCCATTGACCCATCTTATTCTATTCACAGCAGCTCGAAATAAATCAGTTGCCGTTAGACAAGTCCATTTCCTAAGATTAGCCAACCAGGATATATGCCTTTGTCTAGGGCCTCTCTTACCCTCAATCTTGCCTTGTAGAATCAACTGTAAAAGTCGGTATTTATTATTAGATACGCATGACGTGGCCGAAGTATAAGCCAATTTTCTGTTCTTTACGGTGTTATTAATTTCTTTGTCTTTCCTTAGCCTCTGAAGAATAGTTATGTTACTTGTGTGGTAGCACCACATTTCAAATACATCTAATTGTTTTATGGCATCTTCTGTAAGGCTCTAGCTTTCTATTCCATAGAGGAGGACACTAAAGACGTAACGTCTCAAAATTCTTATGCGTATATTGATACTTAAAGAAAGGTCGTAGATAATCTTTCTTAGGTTGTTGAAAGAACTTCTGGCTTTTTCAATACGAATTTTTATTTCGTAGCTGTGATCCCAAGTATCCTTAATATTACAGCCCAAATAACATATTTTTTCCACTCATTCTAACAGTGTATCGCCTATTGTAATTTGGGCGTTTATGTTGGTGTTCTTACTAATGATCATTCTTTTTGTCTTCTTGCAATTTAGGTTTAAGCTATATTTGTTACATGTTTTTACAACGTTATCCATAATCCTTTGGAGCCCCTGCGCACTATGTGCCAACAACACTGTATTGTCTGCATTTCTAATATTGTTTATAAGTTGGCCATTTACAGTAATCCCATCTTCTGATTCGAAGATGGGATTCCAAGGCCATTCTAAAGATGTTTTCAGAGTATATGTTAAATAATGCCGGTGACAATATGCAACCCTGTCTAACTCCTTTTTCGACTGTGAAGATTTCGGAAAGCTCATTTTCTAATCGCACTGTTGCTTTTTGTTGGAGATATAAGTTTGAGATCAGTCTTATATCCTTACCATCGAGTCCTGATGTTTTTAGGATATCGACTAGTTTCCCATGTAAGACTTTATTAAATATCTTCTCGAAATTAATAAAACATTCATACACATCGCAGTTGACATCCCTGGCTTTCTGTATTAGAACTTGCAAACTAAATAGTGCTTTCCTCATACCGAGTCCTGCTTTTTTTAAATAAGTCTAAAATGATTCTAGTTCTGAATACTCGCTAAACGGAAACCGCCACGAACTTAAAGAGATAAATTATACAAACGCCTTCTATAAGAAATAAACAAGGAGGTTGAGCGAAAAACAACGAAAAAAAGCATTCGTATTTGCAAACTATCTCAAAAGTATTTTTCAGCCATATATTATAGACATAAATGAATCTCTCCCAGCTGTTTGACAAGATGATGTAGTTACTCCATTAACCACACCAAAAGAGATTAAAAATGAAATTGTCATGAATGTTGATCCTAAAAAGGCCCCCTGCTACGATCTGATAACTGGGCAGGTCCTTAAGGAGCTACCTAGAAAGGCCCTGGTTAATCTAACCAATCTACATAAACCATTGTTTCGTTTAAATTATGTTTCACAACTATGGAAGGTAGCTGAGATCATTATGATTCCAAAACTGAGCAAACTGCTACATGAAATGACGTCGTATCGACCAATATTCTTGCTACCAATTATGCCAAAACTGTTCGAAAAGCTTTTGCTCAAGAAGCTAAAACCTATTATCGAAGAAAGAAGACTCATACCAATTACCAATTCGGATTCCGAAATCAGCGCTCTATAATTGATAAAGTCCACCGGATCATGGACGTGATCTCAAAGATCACTTGAAGAAAAAAAAAAAAAAGAATGGCTCAGCATTAGTTTTGGATGTAGCACAGGCCTTTAAAAAGGTCTGATACGAAAGAAAAGATTGGAGTATAAGATAAAAATGGCCCTTCCTGTCAATACTCAAAAGTCCTAATTTCATATTTGTCATAGATATTAGATATTTGTCATGTTAAGATACATCAGGATTAGGCAGGAACTAAGAAAAATTAGTGCAGGGGTACCACAGGGAAGAGAAAAATGTTGCAGCTACGTTTACTGATAATATGGCAATTATGGCCGATGGTGACAATGTAATTGAACCAACAAATAAGTTCAGAATGCAATTGCCGAAGTGAAGAAGTAGACAAACAAACGGTGTAATAAATTAGTAAACTGAAATTAATACATATAGATTCAGATAGACACCAACAATAGATAGAGACGCAGTTATCGAACCATTGACTTAGCGAGAACATAAAGATCACATTCGATACTGCTACTTTTGACATGTGACATCATTCGTTTAAACAAAATAAAACTTGTTTATCTGTCTAACTAAGTGTAACTCCAGCAAAAAGTAGGAAAATAGAAAAATATGAAAAACTATTTGCTGGGTCATCCAACATTGAACATATACAAATGCTTCGGAAAATGAAGATTAAGATGTAAGTGAATATGAAAATAGTTCGAAAAATCTTGTACTTTACAATCATGCTGATTTAGATGATCTTGTTAGGTATTATATGTCTATACCAACATGCCATGTTGGCACATTTAGGTTAGTGCATATCAGAAACCAGACCCAATTTGGCAATTCAGAGCTCAGATTCGTATTTAGCGCACCAAAAATCTTCGAAAAAGTATGCTCTGTTTCATATGTCTTAGGCTTGTCGGTATTTTTGAGTTAGAATGCGTGAGTTTGACTGTGGGGAAGGAGGAAATGCCCTTTTGGGAATGATGCCGAACTAGGAGTGTGGATGTGTATGAATGGAGAATGAATGAATAAAGGTAGTGCTTCGGAAGTGATGCCGGCCTTAGGGCGAGCGCCCACCAAAGTGGCGTGGCAGTGGCAAGTAGCACGCGTCTAGCATAATGTAACCAATCCTAACGAATGATTAGAATGAATGACGTTACTGTCATTTTGGTGTAAACTGAATCATTCGTTTTCATTGGTTACATTATGCTAGACACGTGCTACTAGCTACTTGCCACTGCCACGCCACTTTGGTGGGCGCTCGCCCTTACAGCGGCCATTCCGCTTCCGGATCGCTGGATGACAGAGGAGGGTCTGGTTTAGCAGGTAGGCGTTCGGCGTAGACTCGGCGACGAGAGGGCATTTTAAAGTACCTCGGGAACTATCGCCGGGAGTACGAAGAACGAATCCTGCACTAAGGTTCGTCAGGCGGCGTCCTGGACTGAGATGTATTTTGAAGTTTCCAGACCCCCCCTCTATAAAGACGAAAAAAAGGCTTGTCGGTCTGAGTATCTAAACACGAACTTCATGGACGATAAACAAGAGATTGGTTAAGGCTTATAAAACAATAACGATTTATAAAATAAGATCAATATAGTCATTATTACTTCCAAATTAAGATGAGGCAATTAAGTTCCATTACTTAAAGAAAAAATTACTCAGGTGTTAAAAATTCGGTTTAATTAATTATAATAGGTATTCATCTTTAAAATTGTATAGTATTTATAGTAGTTTGTTTACATTTCTAATTTGTTGAATAATTTAAATAGGTTTCAAAACAGGCTGGCCAATCAGCTACTCCCAAAGAGAAACCAGAAAGTGGGACCAAGAAAAAGGCAAAGAAAAGGGGTAGATTTGTATATTCAGTTGGAGATAAATATCCTGGTGTCAATATTGGTCACAGAGAGTGTGTCATACCGAGGCGTAATGTACCGTCGTATATGGGATGGCTTTGGAATAAACATACACCAATACTCCAAATGAAGGTTTGTTGGATTACTTTTTAATTTTATTTATTCCGTTTACATTCTAATATTTCAAAAACCCTTATACCACACAGTGATGTAGGGCGAAAATAAATTATAATACAAATACAATTCAATATTTAAATCAAACTTAATCTTATTTGTAAACTTAACTATATTTTCTTCTTCTTAACGTGCCTTATCAAGTCCCGTTGACGTTGGCGATTAACATGGCGAAACTGTCTCCGTCTCGAGCTATACTAAAGAGTTGCTCAGCTTTCCTTATTCATGTCCACTCCCTGATATTCTTCAACCAAGAGGCCTGCTTTCTACCAATTCCTCTGCGTCCTTCGATTTTACCCATCATAATAAGTTGAAGAATATTATATCGGTCTCCTCTTACCACGTGTCCAAAATAGGCCATCTTTCTACATTTGATGTTATCAAGCAGCTCGCAAGCAGCATTTGCTCTCTCAAGGACTGCCACATTTGTCAGCATAGCCGTCCATGGAATTTTTAGTATACGTCCATGCAGCCACATTTCAAAGGCATCCAGACGATTAATGGTGGATATTTTTAATGTCCATTTAAAATAACTGTAACCTCTGCATATCTGATTGTTTTTATCAGAATTCCATTACCTTTCACGATCCATTTCAAATTATGCAGCGCTTCTTTAAATATTCTATCTGAATATAAATTAAATAACAGTGGGGATAGTATACAATCCTGTCTGACACCTCTTTGTATTTTACATATTTCTGTTGATTTTCCGTTTGTGCAAGCTGTCGCTGTTTGACGCCAGTATAACTTTTCTATGAATCTTATGTCTTGACTATCAACTCCTTTATCTTTTAATATTGTAATTAATTTGTGTTGCTGTACTCGATCAAAGGCCTTTTCATAGTCAATAAATAAAGCAAAGACGTCTTTCCTTTGATCTCGACATTTCTGCAGTAATACATTTAGTGCAAAGAGGGCGTCCCGAGTTCCCAGTCCATTTCTGAAGCCCAAATTGTGTTTCATCCTGGTCTTCTTTACATTTATCTCTGATTCTATCGTGGATGATGCGTAGAAATATTTTCAAAGTGTGGCTCATAAGTCTTATCATTCTATAATCGCTACAGTTTTACGGACGTTGTTTTTTTGGTGGTGTTATGAATTCGGACTTTAACCAATCTTCAGGAATATCACCAGTCGAATAAACATTATTGAAAAGCTTGACCAGTATTCCAATGTTCCCCTCATTTATAAGCTTTAACATCTCTGTCGGTATGTTATCAGGGCCAACGGCTTTCTTGTTCTTTGCTAACTTTATAGCATGCAGTATTTCTGATTTTAGTATTTCTGGTAGTATTAGTATTTCCTACGCTACTTCTAAAGGTAGAAGAAGCGTAGGAAGACGTAAAATCTCGTGGCTACGCAATCTCCGTGAGTGGTTTGGATGCAGTTCAATTGAACTATTCAGGCGAGTAACCAATAAAATTATAATTGCCAGAATGATTTCCAATCTCCGATAGGAGTGGAACTTGAAGAAGAAGAGGTATTTCTGGTCCTTCACCTTCAACTAAAGTCTCCAGTTCTTCGAGTCTATCATCATTATACAGTTCACTTATATAATTAGGCCAGGTTGTTCGAATTTCATGTTCGTCTATTATCATTTTTCCCGACGAATCGGTTATAGTATGTGGAGTTTTCTTATGATAAAGACCAGCTACTCCTCTAACTTTTTTAAATATATTAAACGTATCATGTTTTTCATTCAACTCTTCTACTTCCTTGCATTTATTCTCCATCCATTTTTCTTTAGCCACCTTTATTTTTTGTTTAATTACTTTCTGCTTTTCTTTATATTCTGTCTTGTTACCTTTCAGTTTCCTTCTCTGCTCCATTAATTCCAGGATTTCATCAGTCATCCATTGTTGTTTTTTTGTACCTGTGTAACGTTGTTGAATATTTTTCTATTACTTTCAAGGTAAGATCTTTAAATGTGTTCCAAATTTTGTGTTGTTTTCATTTATTGGTTTCTTTAGCTCATTGTGTCATTTTCTATTACCTTTTTTTGGATATTGAGATATTTAATTTTGGTGTTTTGGGGCTTTCTTGGACTTTTTTGAGCTTCACTTTAATGTCAGTTATTACAGGGTTATGATCTGAACCGATATCTGCACCAGGATATGTCGTTACTCTGGTAACGCCATTCTTAAATCTCTTGTTTACCAGAGTATAGTCTATCTGATTTCTAATCATATGTAGTGAATTATCTCCTGGTCCCCTCCATGTGTATAACCTTCTTTTGTGTAATTTAAAGCATGTATTTGCGATTATCATGTCATGTTCTTGACAGAACTGGTATAATCTATCGCCTCTTTCATTGCTTTTCGCTAGTCCATATTCACCTACCAGGTCAGATCTTCGGCCTTGGCCAATTTTTGCGTTAAAATCTCCAATGATATATGTAACTTCGTTACTTTTTAGATTTTTAAGTATTTGTTTTAATTGGCTATAGAATGATTCGACATCATTGTCGTATTTCTTTTCTGCAGTAGGGGCATATATTTGGATAACATTGACATTAAATGGTTTGCTATTTAATTGGAGTATTGCTAGTCTGTCGTTCACTGGTATAAAATTTTTCACATATTTCTTAAATTTAGACGTTATAAATAAGCCAACTCCATTCCTATGATGTGTGTCATCTTCTACACTTCCAGAATAGTATAATGTACCTTCATCTTGTTCATATATTCCCGTTCCAGTCCATCGGAGCTCACTGATGCCCATTATATCAATTTTTAAACGTTTAACCTCTTTGAACTAAGTTACTGAACTTACCTGCTGCATAGAGGCTTTTAACGTTCCAGGTACCTAATCTGATTGTACTGCTAGACATTTTTAAAGTTGTTGTACTTCTAAAATTGTGGGGATTTCGTATGATGACGACCGGGGAGGCCCTACAGTCTGATGTCCTTCTCGCATCCTTCCCTGCCGGATCTTGGTTTCCGTAATCTATGATCAGTAATACTTCCGTTACGATTGTATTGAGCCATACTATATTTTACTGTATTTAAAATAAAAGTACGATGCTTTTCAAAATCTCTTTTAAGTTGTAGCTTATTGTTGTCTTCCGTGAATTTTTAGAACTATTTCATGCAATTCTAGACCAATCTGACAGTTGTCCGGATTACGCAAAAGACGCCGAGACATGTCAATTTTTAAATTTATTTTGAATAACCGCAGCTATGGGGACGTCACTATGATGTGATTCTTCTTCTTACGGTGCCTGTCCGTTCCGAACGTTGGCGATCATTCTGGCTGTGATGACTTTGTTGGTTGCTATATTGAATAGCTGTGTTGCGGTCTTTCTCCCAGGCTATGCTCTCAGGTTAGCACGCCAGGATATTCTTCGTCCTGGGGTCCTTTTTCCTTTATTTCTACCTTCCAAAATGCATTGGCAGCTTACGGCCCTTCACGATATTGACCAAATCCGCAGTTGTGTTCATCCTCCGCAGTTCTTCTTCATTGTTGACTTTGTCTATCCATGGTATCTTCGGGATTCTTCTGTACAAACCGTAGCTCAAAGGCCTGAAGTTTTGATAGAGTTTCCGCCTTCAATGTCCACGTTTCTACTCCGTATATAAGAACTGAGTATATTTAACATTTAAGGAGCCTTATTTTTATTTCTAGGGTGGGGTCATGGCTCTTGAACACAGACCTTATAGTCAAGAATGCACTTTTTGCCTTTCCGATGCCACATTCAATCTCTTTTGAATATTGTTCCATGACTCATTGATTATAGTTCTTAAGTAGTTGTACTGTGAGATACGTTCAATTCTCATTTGGTTTACATACAGATTTGCTTCAGTTATGTTTTCCTTGCTGATGATCATTAGCTTGGTTTTGCTGCTGTTTATATCCAGTCCATATGTTCTATTTGTTTCCGTTATTGTGTTCATTAAGTTTTGTAGCCCTTCTATGGTAATGGTAAACACTATTGTATCATCTGCCTACCGCATGTTATTGAGTGACTCCATTTATTGAGATACCTTCATCAATATATTTTAGAGCTTCTTTAAAAATGTGCTCCGAGTACAGATTAAATATTAGTGGTGAAATTATACTCCCCTGTCTTACTCTCCTTAAGATTTTAACCTGTCGTGATGAGGGTATCCAATTGTTTTTTAAAAGTTTCAGGTCCAGTGGCCCGAATTTCAGTACGAATTGTTTCCTTCAGTTCGTCGATAGTATGAGACCAAGTGACATACTTTTCATTTAATATAGCTTTACAAAAAGATCTTCAGCGAAGTAAGGTCTAGTGACCAAGCTGGACAATCTATGAAGCCCCTTCTCCAAATCAATTGATTTGGAAATATTAAGCTTAAATAATTACGGACGGTCGCATTATAGGGAATAGCTCCCTCTTGTTGGTACCACAAATCTTCATTTGGTATGTTTGGATTGTTCTTATTTGAAACTAGCGCGATTAATTATGTAACGATTTAGTGTCTCAACATGTCTAAATATTTTGCATCAGTGAGATTTTTATCTAGTAAAATTAAGCCAATAATTTCTGCACATATATTAACTTTTTAAGAGAGTTAAGTATGGGTCTAGTGGGAATTTGTGGAGTGGGGGTCCCAGTATCAAGAGGTTTGTTTATTTACGGTGATGTTTGGATAATTTTGGCACTAAATTCATTTTCTGACGTAATTTATGTCTTTTCATGAATTTCACTATTGAAGTTTGGCTGATGCCATGAGTAGGGGCTAAAGTTCTAGAGCAGGGGTGTCCAACTTGCAATGCCTCAAGGGCCAAAACTAAAACCTTTGATGTTGTCGCGGGCCATGTAATAATTTTGTTACAAGTAATATCAAAATAAAGTGAGGTATAAAAATAATTAAAACAAAAAAGAGGATTATTTCTTTTATTGCTCAACAACTACATTTTTTTATAAACGAAAAATTTATTGATAATACTTTTCAATAATCAACACAAACATTGCAAAAGCAACGAAAAAGATGTATCCAATTATTGTGAGGACTGTGGTCGATCGGCTTCATCCACCAATGAACAAATGTCCACCTTCAGTTCAGTTATAGACACTCTCATAAGATCACGTAAGGAAAAATCGGTAAGGTTGCTTCTGTTTTTATTTTTTATGTATTTCATGGAGGAAAAGGCACTTTCACATGTATATGTGCTTCCGAATATTGACGTTATTTTCAGTCCAAAATCTCGCAGGTTTGGGAATTTCCCCTTTGACAGTAATTTGAAAACTTCAGGTCCCTTTTCTTGTCTTGTGATTAGGAACATGTCTGCTTGAAGATCACATAACTCAAGCTGTAAGTTTATCAATGGTTGCTCCAAGAGGGTTATTATAAAGTAGTACACTGCCTTTGAGACTTTCAATTTCTTCAAATCTTCTATTGAATTCATCAATAACTTGTTCAATTTGTGAAATGCTGGATGAAAACTCAATATTTTCCTCACCGTTGAATTCTTCTGCTATTTGCAGACAGCTAAGGAAGTGTGTCAGGTTGTTCTTTTCCAAAGCACTTTTAAAGCCTGCGTGAACTGTGATGCGCAGTAATCAGTGCAGTTTTCATAGTGATGGAGTGGTGGTTCTCAAAAAAATCTTTTTTGATAGTGGCAGCATTTAAAGAAAATATATGCTTTTCGAAAATCTTACGTGAGTCACAACAAATAGCCCGCGGGCCGCCAGTTGGACAACCCTGTTCTAGAGCTTACATGTGTACTGTTTTGTGTCTATATATTACTATATATTATATATTACTATATTATATATATATATATATATATATATATATATATATATATATATATATATATATTACTATATATTACTGATTTGTAATATTTTAAAATTTATTACATTTTTGTAATATCTGAAAATATTCGATTTGGTAACTATTTGGTATTGTTAAATTGTTTTTTATTTAAATAACTAATACTTTTATTTCCGCTGTTTAAAATTAAATATAGTTTTTGCAACTCTCCCACTAAGTTTCAATTTTAACACTCGGTATATTAAGAATTAGTATCTTTAGGTCAATAGTTATACATACCGCCGTTCTTAGCATTTCATTTTTTTAGCCTAGAAGAGGCTGGCGTCCAGGTGCTATAGAAAGAACAATCGCAAAACGTATTGAAGCTCATAGAATTGCTAAAGGGTTGGGAAAATTAAATATACCTAATTTTCCGTCAAGAGGTCCTGGACGCCAATATGACGGAGGATCTTCATCTTCATCTCTTCATGTTAAACCTAAACCCACACTGAAAATTCAAAAGAAAGATGGTGTTTACAACATTACAATGAATCCTTTGAAAGATCCTAAAACTCTTGCAGAAAACGAAGATCCTTATATGGAGTGTACTCCGATGCAGTTTAAAATAACAAAAGCTAAAAAGGGTAAGACAAAGATTGTTTAAATATAGGTTTATGTGGATCTTACAACAAATGAATACAATATAAAATGCTATAGGCTTTTTGCCTATTACCTATATTGTTTTTTTATCTAATTTCATAATCTGTCTATTTTTGAATGAGATCTTCAAATACATTCTATCCATTAATGGGCATGAGGGTAAAGAGGAAAAGTTCTCGTCAATTATAGTATTCATTAGTATTGTTCGCGGAGACAGTCCCTGACTGATTTCTGACTGTTTCGCATGCGCAGTTCTGTTTTCAGGCGTTCGCGGTGTTAAAAATCCGGGACTTTGACAAAGAGTTCGATGTTCGCGGAGAGTTCCAAACTGGTTCATGATCAGTCCATTTGGTTCATGGATTAGAGTGCGGATTTTTAGTTAGCGCAAGCGCTATAGAAACTGTAAATTGTCAGGTTTTGTGTTTGTTTTTTTTTCGATCAATCGTTAATACTAACTAACCTATTATTTATTTTTGTTGAGAAGCGGCAATATAATCTGTATTCTCTATTCTCTAAATCTTTTTAGCGATATAAATTAAAAAATATAAAAAAGTCATTTAATATTTTATTGCATTATAAATATGTAACTAAAAACAGTACATATATTTATAAGTATTAAAAAATGAATATTATTTATAGATAAGCGATCATTTTACATCCAACGATGAGGATTTAGAGGAAATTCTGGACGTTCAGGGTGATTGATATCAATTTCATCTCCGTAGACATCGTTCCGTCTTACTACACTAGCACCGCAGAATAAAAAACAATTTATGATTATTTATTATTGCTTATTATTACAATTGTTTATTACTCTGTGCTAGTACCCTATTTTTTACTTACACATTTTGACAATATAGCAATACCGTCTTTAAAATAAATTTTTGTCAAACGTCTGTGTTCCTCCTTGTACATATAAACAAAACAGCGTGTTGATGTTTTGGGGTTAGAAACAGTCAGAAATGTCAGGAAATCGTTCGCGGAGAAATAGCTGTTAAAAACTAGTAACTAATCGCGCCAGCGCACAACGTTAATCCCAAATCGGTCCGAAATTTATCCAAAACTAGTCAGGGACTGTCTCCGCGAACAAAACTATTAGAATACAGTTGGGGATATACAAAAACCTCGTTGTAGAATTCACAATGTATGTTAAATTATAAGATAAAATAATTACTATTGCAAGGTAGGAAGTGAAAGAAAGTGGTGAAAGGAAGTAAAAAAACTATTTTTCGCTTTGTTCTTCATAAGGCCAAAATAGAAATCAATTTCTGTAAAAGTGCGAGCGAGCGAAAAATTCGAGCATACATATATCTACTTTACAAAAATCGCAAATAAATACTCCTCCATCAAAGGAAGTGCTGAGTTTTTTTTACCGCCTCAACCCCTGGGGTTATTAGCGGGTGGTATATCTTTATTTTAGAAAAGTTACACTTAGTATATTATTAAAATTTTATATAACAGTTTTGAAATACAAACATTTTATGTTATGTTACAGTTTGTTATACAGTTTACAATTTTTGATAAAATTTATTGTATTACTGATTCTTTTAAAGTTTCTTTCAAATTGTCTTTTATTTTTGATGTCGATCTTGCTCTTGAGTACACTGGACAGTGTATCATTATATGTTGCACTGAAAATGTTATTTGACAGGTGTGGCAAATCGGCTGAGAGTCCTTGGAGATGATGTATCCATGTGTAAATTTTGTATGAGCTAGCCGTAGTCTGTTAATAATTACTTGGTCATGTCTTTGAGCTGGGAGCGGTAGTAAAGCAGAAGTAACATCTGGTTTGATAATTTTTAGTTTTGCTTCTGTTTGGTTCCATTTTTTTTGCCAGGTTTTGTTAATGTAAGTTTTTATTAATGTTTTTTGGTCTGAAATTGGTATGTTTTGCATAATAGGAATTGTCATGTTATTGATAGTTTCTATTGCTGCTTTATCAGCTGCTTCATTACCCTTTATCCCAACATGGGATGGTACCCATAAAAGTGTTATGTTTTTACCACGTGTTTGGCATTGTATAGCATGTCTTTTATTAGTGATAAATTGGCATGAGTTGGATACATCTGCTTGACACCATTTAAGGCACTCAGAGAATCTGATATAATAAGAAAATTTCATTGCTAGTACATTGGTTCAGTGCATTGAAGATTGCTTGCAGTTCTTCAGTATATATACTACACTCCTTGGATAGATGGGTGACAGAGGTGTTGTCTTCAAAAATAGCTGCAGCAGCTACACCATTACTGCTTTTAGAGGCATCAGTAACAATTAGTATGAAATCAGGATCTGTTAGAAGTTAATGAAAGAAGAGATAGAGGAAAATCGAGAAGAAAATGAAATTACTATGTGGCAGAGAACTTAAGAGAGGAAAGTTTAGGTAAAGACGAAGAGAGTGGTGACGAAGAGTACGGAACATCTACCCCTGAAACGGAAAAAGCTGAGGAAAAAGAAGATTGATATTAAAGAAAAATTATAACAGATCACTTCAAAAAGTTTGCGTAGTATGTTTCTTTACTTTTCATTCATATGTGAAAACCGGGACTATCACCGTTCTGTATAGTATAATTCTTGGAGATATTTAGATAGGCTATATATTATGGAATATGGCTATATATTAAAATTACAAATAAACAAAGTCATTTTTTTAGATGAGGATTCCAATCTATGCCACTGTGATGATGAACCTGAGTCTACTAGCGATAGTGAACTAGATATAGAATTTACCCCTCCAGCTGGAATTATACATCCTGAACGATTTAAAAAGAAGAAAAACATTATTAATTGTGAGTCACAATATGATGCAACAGATTTTGAAACAAAAGGGAACAAAGGAAAAGGCAAAAAAGATGGAAAGAAAGGTAAAGGTAAAGGCAAAGGCAAAGGTAAAACTAAAGGTGGCAAGAAAGGTAAAGGTAAAAAATAAATCAGCAAAATAAAGAATGAAATGAAATATTTTAAAAATTTTGGTTAAAAAAATAAGGATTTTTAAGTTTTGATTAGTATCCTGGTATGTTTTTATTAAATTAATAAACTTTTTATACAAGCAGATAAATATTTGTTTTAATATAATCTTTTTTATTGTTTACGTATATTGAGGTTAAACTTTAAATCGAAGGATTCAAAATTATGGCAGTTATGTACCAAATTTCAGAAAAAGATAATGCTGACTGTCATATGTCGAAATAAAATATCAAACATTTTTGGAATATTAATTTTAATTATTGTTAACTTTATTTAAAAAAAGACTAATATGACGAGTAGCTAAGCCAGAAAATTTATAATTTTATTTATTTATAATTTTTTAGTTTGTCATGAAAGCAAATGTTTCATTAATAAAAAATTGTTTATTTTTACTTACAAAATACTGGCTGATATTTCCTTTGGGAAATTTTTGGGATTGGAATTGAATTAAAAACACCGTCCCATACAAACTGTAAATGATCTGGGACGATAATGGAACACAACAAAATGGACAAGTCATGGGGAGGTAGGACACTGATTCGGGCTTCGGATTATCCTGGATGACAACAAACTACACTTGTCAAAACTCGGCCTCCCAAACGCTCCTGCTTAAAACCATGTGGACCTTGTCAAATTATTGTAATGCTTCTTTACAAAACTCCTTACATAGGACACAGCACAACAATTTGGTGCTTAACTCAACAAAGACTGCTATTTAGCATCTTGAGCTCAAATTCACCTCTCCACAAAAAAATTGCCGGCTTTGAAGAACTACACGCCGCAAGCTATTTCTTTCGAATCATAATCTTAACCTTCATTTAAACTCCATCTTCTTCTTATGGTGCGCTATCCAATTAGTAGATATTGGCGACAATTCTGGCATACTCCTCTCGATCTTGTGTGGCTCTAAAGAGTGCATGGGCATCGAGGTTTGCCCAATCCCTTATCCTATCCTATATGGAGGAATTGGAAGAAAAACAATACCACTTTAACATAGATAAACTCGTTAAAGAAGTGACAGGTCATACAAAACCTTGCAAGGTTTTGTATGACCTGTCACTTCTTTAACGAGTTTATCTATGTTAAAGTGGTATTGTTTTTCTTCCAATTCCTCCATTTCTGCACACCTGTCTAGTAGCCACTGTTCTTTAGCTTTGCGACACTCTTTTCGTATTTGTCGGTTAATCTGCTGATGTTTGGTTTGGTCTTTGTTTTTAAATGATCTGCGGTCGTCCATCATTGATAACATTTCTTCAGTTATCCAATTATTCTTCTTATACTTTTAGAAAGCGATTAGAGACTTGGTGGTGGTTACGATAGCCATAGCCATTAGATTAAAGTCCATACTGCTACACATTTTCCCATGACAAAAACGAACAACGAACAACAAAAAAACAATAACGACTTTGAAGAAAAATCCGGACTCAAACAATAAAACCAAACGCTTTGGCGTTCCATCATAGAGTGATTTCATAATTTTCCCCGCAATACTGTCTCACCAAACTAAATGAATATTTCTTTGACTTGCAATATTAAGCGAAATTAACGTCAAAAAAATGAAATTAAAATTATTATATACATACCAGAAATGTTTATATTATCAATCTCAGCGACACAAATAGATTGAAAATATTTTTCGGTAACATATAGAGGGTAATTCGAAATGCTACAATGCGAATACTAGAACTTCTTTGGTAGTTGGCTTTTTCTTTTTAAATCCAATACCGTAGCTTGAACATTTAACGTATCTTTCGGACATAGACAATAGACGTCTACTGGACTTCGAAATGACAACCTGGTATAATACATATATCACCTCCTATAAACTTAATTGTGGACAGTATTTCGTGACTTTTTACGGCCAATTTCACACAATACTGATATTCACTTATAAGAATCACAGTTATTTACGTTAATTTTAGCTGATTTGCTGTTATTTTAGGTAAAAGTTAGGTAGAAATTTAATTTGCTTTTTACTTCCATCAACGCAAGGTTGCCACAAAAAACTAAATAAGCTTTACGGAGCTATGTTCAAAGTAAATACAAAAACACAAATTTGGTGACAATATTTTTTTAGTACATATAAATATTAATATATACCATATATAAATAATTAATATATATATATATATATATATATATATATATACATACATATATATATATATATATATATATATATATATATAATATATATATATATATATATATATATATATATATATATATTATTCACTTAACAATGTAAACGACACACTACTGAGTGTCAAGTGAACGCCTAGACTGAGTTGTCATTAAAAGTCAATTATCATTTCTCATGGTGACACCATACTTCGCTATGTGTTATTCGTTATGGGCCATATTCGGCAGCATATTCACATTCACGCACATTCACATTTTGACATTTCAAAGGACTTGAATAAGCCGAATGCGCGCCGAATTTATCTTAATCTAACTTTATTGTAATTCTCGTTATTCTTAAAACATTAATTCGACTAATTTGTGTGTTTATATACAACTCTCGTACCTACTACGCTTTGATTTGTGGTGTACCTACTGTGAAATGAAAATATAATGAGATTTCTGGATTTATACCAGATGCACCCTTGATAACATAACACAACAAGTATTGGTAAACTGAATTTAAGTAAGTAAAAATAAGTTGCAGCAACCGCCAATACGTCCACGTTCATTTTAGTTCTGCCAAAGGTGCATGACGCAAATATTTATTGCGTTTGGCGTACCGGTACAAGTGTGGAGCATATTTTTTATTCGCCGTGGAATATCAATTATTTGGGCTAATACAGCGTAGCTGCATAACAAATAACACATAGCGAAGTGTGGTGCCGCCATCTCAGAATTTAGTGCATTCAAACTTTACTATAGACGAACTTACAAAAGCACATGCTTCTTGGGAACGAGTCTGTTACTAGTTTTTTTCTGCTTATGTTGCTTCTCTTGATACCGCGTAGCCGCATAACAAATAACACATAGCGAAGTTGGTGCTGCCATCTCAGAATATAGTGCATACAAACTTTACTGAGAATGAGTCTGTTACTGGTTATTTTCAACTTATGTTGCTTCTCTTGATGAAATAATTTTGATGACTTCATTGGACATAAATTAACAAAAATAGAAAAATAAAAAGCGTTACTTACTTCTGTAGGTTGAATTGTAGTGATTCGTAAATGGATCAGAGAACTGTAATTTCTTGCTTATTAACATTAAAGCAGATGGTATCACAACCGCAGAAATTAAAACTAATAATCCAGTTAGGACCAGAGAGGGCACATTGATTTTCGCTACAGCATTTTTCGCAAAATTCAATGATTTTTGAACAGGAATTTCCAAAAATGGCATATTAAATTCCAAATCGATCTACAACAACAAAGAGAAAAGTGTTAACAATAAATAAAAAGTAAATAATGACATAGTGTATCCCGTATAATGTGTTACAATAATTTTCAGAAAGCCGACGGGTATACAGCAATAATCTCGAAGTTTCTCGATAGCTAGCAAGATACGACGAATTAGGCGTTGGTAACAAATAAGCACGATAACGAATAAAGGTGGACTACTTCAGATAATTTTCGAATAATTTTTTTTTGGTATATATACGGAGCGCTGTTATGAGTTAGTTTCATATACACAGAGGTACACCCGCACACACACCATACAAACATGCCACGAACACGATCAAGGAAGCACGAAAACAGAAAGAAGAAAGAACCACCAGACACAGAAACACAATCCACAACCTCACACACATCACAAGTGTCGATCACCATAGATAGACACTAACCAAGGTACGAACAGGAATGAGGTCAGGCTCTGACAGAACTCTGCCTTCAAAATACTGAGATGCCAGCAAACACACCACACCAATCATTCAAAGCATACAAGCATAAATAACAAATTCGCCACTCAACTCTACACAAATCAAAAACATAGTACACCGACACACACTACATCAACACACACCACTCTAAAACAGACACAACACACACACACACACACACACACACACACACACACACACACACACACACACAAATACTATATCACACTAACCCAAAAAAAATTACTAGTCCAAAAAAATTTTCTAGTCCAAAAAAATTTTCTAGTCCAAAAAAAGCTTTTAGTCCAAAAAAATTTTTTTGTCCAAAAAATTTTACCGTATCCTCATTAACTACAACCTTCCCGGAAACATCACTTTCAACCTAGAAATGGAATCATCCGAAAATCAGACCATTCTCTAGACAATAGGTACTATTCCCAAAATAAGAGAATGGGAAGAGGATTTGTAAACCATCACAGATCACAGTCACATAACCGTATCCGTGTAACCAAAGTCCCCCACCTACACACCTCTATTCCTCAATCTTTTCTCCTTGGTAAGGATAGTGGCGTCATGTAATTTGTGATTTCTGTCCAATACACCCCTACAAACACAAAATACACTCTCACCAACACACACGTAACCAACACCATAACCCATACACGCACTTATACACACACTCATACACACACGCACTACACTACAACAAACACAAACAAATTATACACAACTAACAACAAAAAACACACAACAATCACCACACACGATCCAAAATTACAGAATCGAGGTCATCCCCCCATACATCTGTCAGCACAAACCATTCTATCAATTAATCAAAGACAACAATCTAATCCTAGATTGAGACTCAATAAAAGTGTTTCCAATCCAAAATGTAGCTTTTGTACGACTATTAAACTTCTAGACCTCAAAAATCTCACGGAAAAACTTCGACAAATCACTGGAGATAGTGATATTTCAATAAATTGAGGATTCAAATATAAAAACTTCCCTAATCCGCAACCCGTTCCAAATGATCAACAAAACCTTTACTTAGTCATTGCCGGCGTCGACAAAAAACTATTCCAAAAAATCATTGAGGTTAATCTATCCGAAAACAAATTCCCATTCACCAAAAGAGTTCGTATAGTTGCCCACTCTACAAATCAACCCACATCTTTCATTAGTTTTCACAAACTCCGAAACTAAATTTGCTAATGCACTCTAGAACGGTATTAAGATCGAGGAAGAACGA